CCCACACACAGGTGCCAGGACTTCTGGGGGCACCTTATGTCTCCCAGGACCCTGCAGATCTCCTGGAATCTGCACACCCAGACCTGTCCCAAGCTCCCACGCTGGCGGCTGTAAGTTAGCACTGTTGTCCAAGGAGAAGGCACCTGGGCAGCAGCTTACCCCCTGGATGCCGGCCACTGTGGGCACTCAGGCTGCCCAGGAGTGTTCCCAGCCAGGGGTGGGAGCTGCTCATTTGAGGGAACAGGCAAGAGGCCGTCCTGCGAGTGGGGTCAGGGCCAGGCCATGCAGGCTCAGAGGCAGTCACCTGCATTTGTCCCTGAGCTTCATCCACTTCACATGTTCTCTGCCCATGGTGCCAATCCCAGCAGGGGCCCCAAGCTTCGTGGCCTGCTGCAGCCTGCTGCCAGTGGCCCTGACAGTCGTGGTTGGGCATCCTCCCTGGTCACTGTTGACATGTAGGGAAGGCTGTGACCTCTTCGATCCGTCCTCCCTGGGATGGCTTCCTGCAGTGGGCTTTTAAACTGAGCCTCCCCCCACCCCCCACGCCTGCGGGTCTTGGTCCTGACGCTGCCTGTCTCAAGTGAGGCTGGAAGCTGTGTCTGGGCCTCATTCTCTGGCTACTAGTCACTTCCTCGCTCCTTCTAGATGAATAGCTCTTAGCTCCTATTCAAGGCTCCAAATGTCCACACCGGATGGAGAGGTGGTGGCGGTGGCCTCCTGCCGTTTACCCTCCCCTGCCAGGAGCGGAGAACTAGGACCCGAGCCCTTCTGGGGATTGGCTGTGGGCTGCCCCACCAGTCCCAGGTCACAGGAAAGTGACCATCGTCAGCTGGGCTGCAGGCGGCTCAGACAATGCTGAGCTGTCCTGGCCTCTGGCCCCACGGGGTAAGGGAGGCTGGGAGACAGCACCAAGAGATCCCTTTATCCCTGGAGCAGGCCGGGCCCCACAGCCCCGGCCTGTGCAGCCTGCCAGGGTCTTGGGCCCTCACAGGCCCCCAGATGCCTAGTGAGGGCAGGATATGTTCCAGGCCCATAGAGGTGACGTTCACCTGCTAAGAAAGAGAAAAGGTGGTCCCTCGCACACCTGGAAGGTTTGCCTCAGCCTGCTCAGCCATCGGGGTGTCAGAGCCCAGCCCCCCTCCCCAGCCTGGGATCCACGGAGACCCAGCTTCCCACTGACCCTCTGTGGAGAGGAGGCCGGGGAAGAGGTGTGCCCCAGAGGCATCACCACCCGAGCCTGTCCAAGGGTGACGTTCCCGGGAACCAGGAAGTAACCAGGGCCACGTCGGCGTCATCACTCTGACCTAAGGACTGGGATGCACCGAACCCAGCCCGGCTTCTGGGCAGGCTGGCAGAAGGCCTGCACTCAGGCTCCGGGGCCAGACTCCAGACACGGTTGTCCGAAGTCATTCTGTTTGCTCTCAGATCACATCATTTGTTGTGGGGTTGGGGCAAGGGATGCAGGGGAACTGCTCTCTCAGCTAGAGCTTAGCACACTGAATCAGCATTGAGTTCTCACTGCGCGTGCTTGTCCTTGAGGGTGGGGCCAGGGAAACTTGAGCCTGGGAAGACATAGACCTAGGCAGTCCATACAGAGAGTGGTTCCCCTGGGGGCGCATTTGGCCAGTATTTCTTGGGGAGGGGGCTGCAGAAAGTGGGACAGTGGCGGGGGTGGAGGGCTGTCCTATAGTACAGTTGGGCAAGCCAAGGCCAAGAGGAGAAAGAGCACTGGGTTGAGGGGTGCTTTGGGGCATCAGGCCACACCGGGGCCTGTCTGTGCCCTTCTGTTCACACTGTGTGATGGCGGGGACCTCCCCCTGTGGTCCTTTGGTTCCTTCCTGATGTCTGTTCTGGGGGAGGCGGGGTGCAAAGCAGGCACAGTCAGTCTGCCCGGTGCCTGCCACATACTTGGTGCCCACCCCCACTGAAGGCAGCCCCCGACCCCAGTCCCCACTGCCAGCCCTGCTCAGGCCACCTGCCCTGAGACCCCAGCTCTCATCTGCAACCTGGACACCTCTCTAGGGACTGCAACCGCAGGGTTCCGGCACTGAGAGAAGTGATTTCAGGTTAGGGGGAACATCACAAAAATCTGGGTGTGCCCTAATGTGGGAGCCACAGACCGCTATTGAAAAGGGCTCATGCAAACTGAGGTTACCGTGTGTGTAAAATACACATAGAGTTTCAAAAAAAATACACAGAGTTTCAAAGACTTTGTATGAAAAAGGGTGTAAAATTTCTCAAATTTAACATAGTATTACATGTTGAAAAGATAATATTTTGGCTATATTGGGTTAAATAAAATAGATTATTAAAATTTACTCCACCTGTTTTATTTTCTTTTTACATTTTTTTAATGTGGCTGCTAGAAAATTAACAATTCCTTATGTGGCTCACATTAAGTGTCTGTTGGACAGCGCCACTCTGGACTCTGAGGGCCTCAGGTGTTGACACCACCTTAAGAAATGAGTCATAAAAGGTTGATCAGGAAGATGGATGCTGTGGAATAGAGGTGCTGGGGGTGGTTTAGGGGGCAAGAATGGAGGCCAGATGGAGAGCAGGACTGGGCCAGGCCTTTGGAACACAGGGATGGAGCAGGGTGGCATTCACAAGGGGCAGCTAGGGTGGGTCCGAAGGCCAAACTGTGGGGCAGGTGCCCAATGTGTCCCCACCGCCCGGGATGGGGGAGTCCTAGTGACACCACCTCACCCAACTCCTCAGTGTCCCTCATTTGACCTCAGGGCCCTCCCCCTTCCTTCCGGGAGGAAGAGCAGGGTAGCCTGCCAGGAGCCTGGTGCTCCAGGGAACTATGCATCATGTAAACACGACCCAGCCACTGGCCTTTTTCAGAGCAGGCGGAGGCCAGACCTGGTGAGGCACACCCCGAATTCAGAGCAGAGTCGGTGCCCCCAGACTGCAGCCCAAAGCCACGTGGGTGGGGGGCAGGGACTGGCTCTTCCAGATCCAGTCCCCCCAACCCCTCCCCAGCCCCCACCGCTGCTGGCTGGCTCTGGCACTCTTGCTTCCCCACCTCCTCCCCAGCTCGTCTCTGGTGTGTGTGAATTATTGATGCTCCCTTCTCTCCCCTGCCTGGAAGCTGGCAGAGAAGGGAGGCGCTGCCTGCCTCGCCACACCTCTGGCCGCCAGCACCCAGAACCCAGGGCCGTATATATGTACGCCCTGGGACCATGGGCCAGCAGACCTTTGCGCCCTCGCCCAGCCCTCCTTGGGAGCTAGCGAGGGTCGCCCCTGGGAGAGGGCACCACTGGCTGTGGCCCCAGGGCCCGGTGTGGCAATTGGCGGCTCGCACAGAGCCGGGCTTGTGCGGGCTGCGGGGCGCTGGCGCCCACATAAGGGCATTGTTTGCTGAGGTAAAAGGGGTTTTTGTCTCCTTCTGGAGACTGGACAGAAGGAGGAACAATTTCCCCCATTCATCACTAATTCCCCCATTTGAATAGCAGCACATTGCCCCACGTTACATAGATGGGCACGCAGTCCTTCCCTGCCCAGAGGCATTCCGGGCCCAGGTGGTGGGCCCTGTGTCCTGCCCAGACTGGGGAGCTGCCCTTCACCGGAGCCCAGGAGGCCTGGTTTTGTGGAAATGCTCAGAAGGGGTGCATTCCCTCTGCTTCCCTGTGGTTCCGCGCCGCACTTGTCCCTGTCACTGTAGCCACAGGTTGGGGGCTGTCTTGTCCTGCTGGTATGATTCTGGGCTCCAGCAGGCTAGCCGTGGTTGGGGTGCCCATCTTGGAGGGGCATCCTGCACAGCCACATAGGTCAGGACCAGGTGGAGACAAGAGGGTCACTTCCAGCTCCGCCTCACATGCCTGGAGGCCTGCACCCCTGGAAGGCCTGACTCCAGCACTCCAGGTGCCCATGGGGCCAGCTGGGTTCTTTCACAGGGTCATAAAGTGTCAGAGCCCAAGAGGGCGTCAGCGGCAACTCCCTAGACTGCAGATAAGAGGAGCCAGGGAGGCGGGCTGTGCCCAAGGTCAGGAGGCAGCAAGGCCCTGCACCTGTTCCCCCAGCCCCACTCCTGCGGGCATGACTCTATCTCCCTTAAATCACATTGTTTTTGGAGAGGGCTAGGGGCAAGGCAAGAGCTGCAAGTGGATCAGAACCCTGCTTACCCCAGCCTGCGATGCTGATGTTTCTCCCTGTTCCTTCTTTCCCCAGACAGTGACAGGCAGGTCTCTAGGCCAGGGCTGTGCCAGGGTGCTGGCGGTGGGCCCCGCCGCTGACCCCTCCTGGGGTTAGGGACAGCCACTATGAGGGGAGAGCCCCCGGGGGGTGGGGGGAGGCTCCATTCCCTTGGGCCCTCCCAGGGGCAGGACTGTGGATTACTTAGAGTCCAGACCAGGCCCACAGGATGCGACCTGCCTCCAGCCAGCTTTCGCACTTAAGGAAATCACTGGGTCCTGTAACCAGAAGTCTAGGGCTTTCTTTGGCTTTAGGCATGGATGGATTTTGGGGGGCTTGGTCTGTGCCAGCCTGTCAGCCCTGCTGGGGCTCCCTGCTGAGTGAGCTCTGCAACCCCTGGGCTGATGGGAGAGTGTTGCTTCTTTTCTGCAGAAGCGAAGACTGACTTCCGTGGGCCCATTGTGGATCACTGTGATGGACTGTGCTGACTGGCCGGGCCTGGGGCACAGGCTCACCCTTGGGAGACGCGGGGTGCCCTCACCAGAGAGAGGGGGCTGTGGTTTCTGGAGAGACGGGAACCACCTGGGGCAGCTGACAAGGGGGCTGGGTGCAGACCACAGACAGACCACGTGAGAAGGTGATAAATACCCTGGAAAACTGAGTAAAGGAGTCAGCGTGTCGGAGTGGGGGCAGGGAGGTCGTCCTGAGAAGGTGACCTTTCAGCGAAGCTTGGAAGGAGAGGGAATGCGGAGCGTCCCGAGAAGAGGGGACAGTAAGTGCCAAGGCTAGGGCACAGCTGGATGGGGCAACATTGGGGGACGGGGTGGGGGTGGGGCTGCCAGGAGGGCCCAGCAGGAGGCCTGGGGAGGGTTTGGCTTCAGTATGGGGGTTTGAACTCAGTCCACGGGCTGCGGCTGGATCATAGCCACTGCCGGGGTTGGTGTGGGGGGCATTGACAGATAACACTCCCCCCCCAGCAGCTCCTGTGCCCTGCTGGCCATAGAGGGCTTCTGCACTTGCCCCCTGACCTTCTCAGTGTTGCTCTTGGAGGCTTCTTCCATGGGCTCCTTCCTCCAGAAACCCTACCCTGCCTCCCTCCTGCACAGCGCCCACTCTACCTCCCCGGGGGTAGCTCCGCAGAGGGGGGTCTGCAACTGGGGCCTTGAGCTCGCTGCAGTCCGAGAGGGCTTCCTGGAGGAGGGGGGTTGCAGGGACCGGGATCAAGGACATGAAGCACACAAGCCTCTCCCCAGAGCCCAGTGACCCCTGTAGCCTTCTGTTTGGTTTCTTGCTCCTTAGAGGATGAGCCCCCAGGACAGCGACCGCCCCCATCTTCCCGCTGCCGTGTCCCCAGCACCTCACACAGGCCTGACACCCAGCGGGTGCTCGAGGAAGGGAGGGACGAGGGCAGGGGCAGTGTCTTCGCGGCCCTGTCCCTCTCCCACCTCCCCTCACCCGCCCACTTCAGATTTGGCACCAAGCTGGTCTCTGAAGGGGTCCGGAAACCCACAGTCCAGTCTGGGAGAGTGTGCGTTACAAAGTGAGAAGGCCTGGGGTCAGGGAACCGGTTCTGTTTGTTCTTGTTCTTCAGCACCTATTTGCTGTGTTGGGTGTTGTCTACACCTTATAAATCCTATTTACTGACATGGCGCCCATTTTGAAAGGAGGCGAAGGGGCATCTTCAGGGACACATAGCCCCTCTGCCTTCTGCCTACAGCCCATGGCCTCCCTTGTCAGCAGAGTTGCAGGCAGCGCGTGAGCAGGTTGAGGGCGGCGTGATGGGTTGGCGGGGGAGCTTATGGCTCACCTGTGCCCCCTGAGGTGGGCTCTGTGTGTGGCTGGCTTTCCTGGCACCCAGGTGCAGCGTGGAGGTGGGAGAGGCTTGGCCTGTGAGTCCATGGGGTGGCAGCAGATGGAGCTTGTAAACTGGGGCCCACTGGCCTCCAGGAATTTTGTTTTGCTGTGGGGGAATATTTTGTGGTGAAAAACTTTGTAAAACAGAATTTGCCACTTTATAACCATTTTTAAGTATACAGTTCAGTGGCATTAAGCACACTGTTGTGTAACCAGCACACATTATTTCCCAGATAGAGTTCTCATTACTGTAAATAGAAACTCTGTAACAATTAAGCAATAACTCTCTCTTCCACCCAAACCCAGCCCCTGGTGACCCCTCAGATATTTTCATTCCCTGTGGATGTGTCGATTCTAGATATTGATATTGCATGTGTGTCCTCTTTCAGTATCTGTCCTGCTGTGTCTGGTTCATTTCACTTAATGCTAACATTTCCAGAGTTTATCCATGTTGTAGCATGTATTAGAATTTCATTACTTTTTATGACGGAATATCTCATCGCATAGATAGGCCATGTTTGGTTTGTCTATCTGTCCAGTGAGGTTCTTCAAAATGTAAACAATGTGAGTCAGTCACCAATATTTAAAAACCTGGATATTTACACATGGGTGCCTATTTCCAGTTTTCTTCTAACACCTTGGAATGCATAGCTACACGAGGTCTGGACTTCTGGCCTCATGGGTCTCATCTGCCCAGCCATTTCCCTGCTAGACTGGGGTGGCATCTACCTCGGAGGAGGGGCTGTGCCACCATTGGAGCCTCTGCCTGTGACTCCTTGGGTGGGCAGGTGAGGTGCACAGCCCCGTGATAAGGGTGTTGGGAGCTCAAGAGTCTAGGCCAGCACCCTGGGTTCCTGAGCTGGATGGTCTGGGAAAATACACACACACACATACACATGCACACATGTGCATCCTCATAGCATGCAAGCCTCCTTTGTGCTCATGCCTGGAGATGCACAAGGGCAAGAGGGTCCTTCCTCCCTGGAGAGAATCTGGTTGGGAAGTAGACAGTTGGGGTGCCACCTTTTGGGCCCAGTGCCCAGTGTGATGTGTCAGGAGGCCGTGGCCCTGATGCCCACGCTGAGCATTGTGACACTGGCTCCCTTTGTGACTGGTGTGGTACCCACTGACCTCCGAGCAACCCCTCCTTCCAGAGGAGGAAGGCAAGGCCCTCTGAGGTCAAGCAAGTGGCTGGTTATGGAGTGGTGCAGGGTGTGAAGTCATGCCTGCCAGGTGGGCAGAGGAGCTCAGAGGAGCTCAGACAGTCAGCCAGGATGGACTTGATCTTTGCCCTCCATCTCCTGGGCCCTGGCAGAGACTCCCGAAACCCCAGGTGTTGGGGCTTCTCCGGCAGCTAGGCCCAGCCCTGGTGGGGAGGTGGGCAGCTCTCAGGCCTGCACCTGAGCCGGTCAAGGAGGCATGATGTATCCCTCGGAGGGATGGGCACAGGCTGGGGTCGGGTCTGTGAGTACCTCCTTCCCAGGGACCACGGAGGGAGGAGGCCTGCTCTGAGAAGGCAGCGTTGGGCCAGTCTTTGAAGGTGGACTCACAATTACTGAGCTGGACAAGGCAGGCAGATTAGGAGAGCCCTGGAGCTGTGAGGTTCAGCAGTGGCCAGTAGAGTGGGACCTGGGCTGGGGGAGGCTGCAAAGGTCATGGAACCAGGAACACACCAGCAAGAGTGCAGACTCTCCTTGGGCAGGCTGTGGGCAACAGGAGGGTGGGGACTAGGGGAGTGATCATTGGGCTGGTGCTGGGAAAGGGAAGGGTGGAGACAGGTGCAAGGGTGTGACCAAGGGAAGCTGGCGTGCTGAAGAGGGAACTCAGCCAAGACGACTAGATGGAGGGTGGGGGTGGGGGTGGCTTGGCAGTTTGGCAGCCCATTCACTTTCGGAGTGTTTCAGCAGTGAGCATCTTGGTTGTAGTCACCACGTTGTTTCTCAGCTTGGGACCGGGCCAGCACGCAGTAGGTGCTCAGTAAATACTGCTGGCGAGTTTGTTTATTCCACAAATGCCTAGGTTGGTCACTGGAGTCACTGTCAGAAGAAAACCAGACCCATCTGTGATTGAGGAGTGGATGGGCGGTGAGCTTCCAGAGGGTAGCAGGGCGGCTGGCCTGGGATGTAGCTGAGCAAGGCCGGGATCTGTGGGGCGGCTCTGAGTAGGGCCTGGAGCAGGCCTGCAGGAGGATGGAGGGAGCAGAGACTGCCCAGAGGAAGAGGAGGAGAAGGAGGGGCAGCCTGGCCCAGGGGACCTGCAGCAGCCGAGGGGGAGGGGTGCCGCTGCGCGGAGGCTTTCCCATCCCCCTCTGCCCTGGGCCTTGGCTGCTTGATGGGCAGCCTGGCCCCGCCCCTGGGCAACCGGCAGGCCAGCGATTGGTTGGCGCGCTAGAGCCGCTCGGTCGCCATGGGGACGCTCGGGAGGTGCGCGTGCCCAGTGCCCAGCACCAAGGACTAAATCTTCATAATCTGCGGGCTGGGAGGGGTGGGGGTGGGGTCGTGCGCGACCCTGGCCGGGGAGAAGGGGTGTCCTGGGATGGGTCGGGGCTCCCTGCGGCCGCCCCTCCCCCACCCACCCTGGGGGCTGGTGCAGAGCCGCTGGGGCACCTGGGCGCCACCAGGAACCGCGCGGTACTCACCTGAGAGTGACCCCGGGAGCTAGACTGGAGCTTGGGCCTCTGCCTTCTCAGCTGATCAAGCAGGAGGCTGGGGGGCAGGGAAAGGAGCCTGGAATTCATCGGAAGGATCTAGCCCCCGAGTTAAGTTTGTGCTCCTGGATTCCCCGGCAATGCTGTGCTCTCTGCAGCAGGGGGCGCCCTCCACAGGGCTTTGTAGGGGTGTCACAGCAAGAAAGGCGGGATGGTCCACTGAGGTGCCGGCGGACAGAGACCCTGCCGCCCTGGCTCTGGGTGTCCAGTGTCGTGTGGCCATGCGGGCAGGCAGGTCTGTCTACACAGGCTGCCAGGGTTGGGCCCAGGCCTGCTTGCTGGGAGCAGGGGTGTCACAGTGGAGCCATCCTTCAAGTCAGGGGGTGGAGAAATTCCAGGGTCTGCGGTGGGGAGGGGGTCCTGTAGGGAAGAGGGTGTGAAGGGGTGAGGCAGTGGTGAGCCAAAGGAAGAGGGGGGCGCTGGCCAGGCCCCGTTCAACCTCTGGGTGTGTCGGAGGACCTCTGGGCCAGCACCGGTTGGATTAGACTGGAGGCGGCAGCCGCTCATCCCAGGCCCTTGAAGCTGAATAGTTTGTGGGGGTGGAGGGCAGGAGGCCACCATGCCCTGCACACTCCCTGGCCGCTCTGCTCCTGGTGGCCCTGGTTTCTGGCAGTGGGACCCTACTCCCCACCCCCCACCCCCGCCACCTCGGGGCTGGGGTAAGACTTGGAGCCTCCAGCGGGGACAGCAATACTCACCTGCGCAGGGATGCTCGTGAGGACTACACGGGGCAAGTACCACTTCCCTGAGCTGCCCCGGCCACGTCCCTGGGGGTGTCTCGGGGGTCAGTGGGTGCTGGGGTGGGGCCTCACACCCAGGCCTCTCGTTCCAGACGACTCCTCCTCTGAGAGCGGCAGCGGTAATGGCTCCTCCACCCTGAACCCGTCGACCTCCAGCAGCACGCAGGGAGACCCGGCCTTCCCCGAGATGAACGGCAACGGCGCCGTGGCCCCCATGGACTTCACTGCCAGCGCCGAGGATCAGCCCATCAACCTGTGTGACAAGCTCCCGCAGGGCTCGGCCCTGGGCACGCCCTCCTACCCCTCCGATGGCTGCGGCGCCGATGGACTGCGGAGCCGCGTCAAGTACGGGGTGAAGACCACCCCCGAGGTGTGTGGGGCTGCGGGCTCCCCACAGCTGTGAGCTTCGGCCACTCCTGTACACACAGCAGGGTTGTGCGAGGCTGACGTGAAAGCGCGTGTTACCCGGGGCTGTGGCCACCACCAGCGGAGGCAGGGTAGTGGCCGTGGCCCCTGTGCCATCATTTGCCTGGGGAGGCCCTGAAACGGGAGTGAGCCCCTTACTTCTCCACCTGTGTCGCCATCTGTGAAGTGAGGTTGATGACCTGGGCCCTAGTGGAGGTGGGGAGGGACATGTGGGCTGGCCCTCTGCCTCCAGAACAGGGTCCGCTGTGAAGAGCAGTGGCAGGAGGGCTTCGTTCAGCAGAAGCCCCAGACCTCCCATTTTCTGACTGGTCTGCATACTTGTCCCCATTTTACATATGGTGCAGATTGAGGCCTTGGTGGCCTCAGGGACATGGAGGCATAAAATCCAATAGACCAGTCTGAGGGGGGCAGATAGATGCCCCCCCATTTGGCCCTCCCCCACCTTCTCCTATTACTTCTGTAGGTCACCTCCAGACCACTAAGATCTGTTGGGGGGGGCAGGGGTGGCTTCTCAGACCCCTACTCTCCTGGGCTCCAGCCGAGGCCCCTGTTCAGGTTTCTTCTACTCCCGGGGCCTGTTTCGTCTTCTGCAGGAGGTGTAGGGTGGGTACTAGTGCTGGCCTGCGTGGTATCTCTCGTGGGCGTTTCTATACAGGAGTCTCTATACAGTCGTCATATGGTCAGTGTACCCGAGCCCAGGCCGCAGAGCCAGGACTGGCAGCGCATCGTCCTCCCCCTCCAGTTTTATTTTTCCAATTTATTTTTTGGCCAAGCCCTGTGGCATGTAGGATCTTAGTTCCCCAACCAGAGATGGAACCTGTGCCCCTTGCATTGGAAGCGTGGAGTCCTAACCACTGGACCACCAGGGAAGTCCCCATCCTCCCCTCTTTGACTGGGCCCCAGTGGCAGGCACAGCCTCTGCACGGCAGGCAGAGAGCTGGCACGAGTGAGGTGGCCGCCGTGGCCTCAGGCCACTCGTGTGGACCACGGAAGTGAGATGGGATCATGAGTGTCACCTACGGTCTGTCTCCTCTCACCCTGGCTAAGAATCTGTCAAGGAGCGCCTGGGAATGTGACTGACCCATGGCACCTTTGACCCTCCTGTGAGAGTCTGACATAGTCTGGCAGGCGGCCAGAGGACCTGGGTGTCCCTGGCCCTTCAGATACTAGGTATAGTGGACGCTAGGTGTGATCCAGAGATGGACACAAGGCCAGGGACCCTGGGAGGGCCGACCCTGCTGGGTGTGGTCACATGGAGGCTGATGGTGGCAGCCACTGCCGGACAGAGCAGCAGCCAGTGTCTGTCTTTATCCATTTGTTCATCAGCAAGAGCTGGGTACCATCTGGGCCACTGTATAGCCATGTGGCAGGGTCTGATCTGTTTCCTGGGGCTGGCCACCTACTAGAAGCTATCCTCCGTGAGGGCAGAGACCGTGTTTCCAGGACACTGCCAGTCAGGACTCGCCAAAGCCACAAACTTTCTAAAGGCAAACGACAGTGGTCTTTGTCCTTACCAGGGCATGTCTGGCAGGGGGCAGGAGACAGGAGGGGAACTGAGCTGTGAAGGATGAAAAAGAAGGGAAAAGCAGGGAGGAGAGTGGGGAAGTATATTCCCGGGAGAGCTAGGGAAGGGCTCCTTATTCTGGAGGGCAGGGGAGGGGTCCTGTCTCTGCTCCTGCTGGACAGGATGGCTGCCCCATGGGCTGGGTCTGATTCCCTCTCCTCTTTCTATACATGGGCTTTGCATCAGGCTCCCGGTGACTTCCGGGGGTGGCAGCAGACGGGAGAAGCCCAGCCCGGGAACTGCGGGGATGCTCTGCCTGATGGCCGTCTCCTTGGCTGGTTCTCTCCCAGCCCATCTGTTCCCCATCCCCGACAGACAGCACATTCGCTGCTTTTGTGACAGCTCGGTTGTCAGCTCGGGGTTGCAGCCCCCTGGGGACGAGGGAGGAAAACCCTGGAGCCAGAATGGATCTTGGCACAAGCAGGAGAGGCTGACTGGTGGCGGGAACCCTTTCTGTGTCTGCCTTTCCCTTGCACGAGGAGGCAGGTCGTGGTGTGGGTGCTGCAGCTCCCTCCAGTGAGCTGCTCCAGGGCATCAGTTGTGGGGTACGGTTGTGGGGGTCCTTCCTACAGCCGCTTAGAGAGGGGTAGCCGCATTGCTGTCCCCACTTCAGAGGTGAAGGGAGCAGGAAGGAAAGTGACTTGTTCAGGACCTCAGAGCGTGGCTCACGAGGCAGCTGGATGTGCCCGAACCCCCCAGTCCCCACGTCCACCGTGACCTGACCCTCTGCCCCTGCCCTCTTCAGTCCCCCCCTTACAGCTCGGGGAGCTACGATTCCATCAAAACTGAGGTCAGTGGCTGCCCCGAGGACCTGACAGTGGGCCGGGCCCCCACGGCAGATGACGACGACGATGACCACGACGACCATGAGGACAACGACAAGATGAACGACTCAGAGGGCATGGACCCTGAGCGCCTTAAGGCCTTCAACGTGAGTGCTTGCCTGGGACAGCCGGGGCGGGGGCGCAGCGGGCCAGCCCTTCCCACCGCCCATGTCCTCCGCAGATGTTCGTGCGTCTCTTCGTGGATGAGAACCTGGACCGCATGGTGCCCATCTCCAAGCAGCCCAAGGAGAAGATCCAGGCCATCATCGAGTCGTGCAGCCGGCAGTTCCCCGAGTTCCAGGAACGGGCCCGCAAGCGCATCCGCACGTACCTCAAGTCCTGCCGGCGCATGAAGAAGAATGGCATGGAGATGGTGAGCCCCCAGCATTCCCCATCCCCAGCCCTGTCCCACAGCCCCCGGCAGTACCTCTGGAAGCAGACACTGTGGTTCCCGGTTCAAGAGGAGCTCAAACTCCAGCCCTGCCCCACCCACCTCTTTGCCAGGGGACTCTGCACCCCAACACTGGCTCCATCCCCGTTTCTGTCTGCAGACCAGACCCACACCTCCCCACCTGACCTCGGCCATGGCAGAAAACATCCTGGCAGCTGCCTGCGAGAGTGAGACAAGAAAAGCAGCCAAAAGAATGCGCCTGGAGATCTACCAGTCCTCTCAGGTGCCTGCTTGCTGTCAGCTGCTTGGGGGGCGTCCTCGGCCACCCTGCAGGTCCCAGGGCCCTGGGTGCAGAGGGAGCAGGGAGGGTGTCCTCAGACGGGGGAGGTGCTGGGGCATAGGGGAGGCAGAGAAGCCCAGACACAAAGGCCTTGCAGACTTCGGAAAGGCCTCTGGACTTTGTCTCGAGCCCCAAGATGGTCTTCAGTCAGGCAGGAACAGATTAAATCTTCCTGGAACATAGACAAGAGATGGGGGTCTGGGGGACGCCTTGGGCAAGGCAGCCAGGGAGAGAGGCAGAGCTCTGCAGGTCCCCGCAGAGTCCCAGACAATCTGGGGCCACTGTCTACCCCCCTGTCCAGGAAACTTGGTCAGGGCTGGCTGCCTCTGAGGTTCCCCAGCGCCTCCCTCCCCCCCGCAGGACGAGCCCATAGCCCTGGACAAGCAGCACTCCCGGGACTCCACAGCCATCACCCATTCCACCTACTCACTGCCAGCCTCCTACTCCCAGGACCCCGTGTACGTCAACGGTGGCCTCAACTACAGTTACCGTGGTTACGGGGCCTTGGGCAGCAACCTGCAGCCTCCTGCCTCCCTCCAAACAGGAAATCACAGTAATGGTGAGTGTGGGACACCAGGCTCTGCACCCCCTGACCAGCAGCCTGGTGGCAGGGGGAGGGTGGGGACAGAGGCTGCCGGGAAAGTGACTCCTCTGTGTTACAGGGACCCTCCCCATCTCGTCATCTTAGCCAGTCCTCAGATCGGAAGGCAAGGTTAAAATAAACCACTGCCTATACCACTCCTTTCTCGCCTCCCAGGAGGCTTGCTGGGCCTCCCCCGGGTTCCCTGCCCCTCCACCTGCCACTGTGAGCAGAGTCCCAGCGCCTCACCTGGCGCTCGTCTTACTGAAAATGACCAGGTCTCGTGCCCAGGTCTCCCAGCGTTGATGGCAGAGCCAGGATGCAGCCCCAGGCAGGTCACCTCCCCTGCCAGGCCACAGGTCCCGACCTCACATGTGAGATGAACTTTCAAGGGAGCACTGTGGGGCCCCGTCTAGGTCACCTGGGGGCAGCGAGTGGTTCGCCATCTCTCCCCTCTCCACCCCCAGGTGCTCTCTGTAACTCTTCCCAGGTGACTGATGCAGACGGGACACAGATCAGTGTTGGAGAGGAACAGCCCCCCAAAGATACAAACCTCCCCATGGAGCCAGGTGCTGCCCTGAGTGAGGCCTCGGGCCCTTTCATACGGAGGCCTGGGGGGTGGGAGCGACTGGGAAGAGCAGTGCCCCCCTGGAGAGCAGCCTGGGAGCTGGCGAGGGTGGCTGGGGGCGATCCTGGGGCTTCTTGGGTCAGGCATTTGGGTTTTGTTCTCTGTGTGGTGGGAGCCACAGATAGGCTCTAAGCAAAGGAGGCTGTGAGTTGTGCTGTCCGCCCTGGTGGTGAGATTTTAACCTGGAGGCTAGGGGGCCGAAGCAGCGTGCTTTGGGGGCATTCAGAGGTGAGGAAGAGCTGATGGTGACAGCAAGCTGCTGCTTGAGGAGCAGGTTAGAGGAAGGTGCCGCC